AAATCAATGCACACCAGCAAGAAAGCAAAGGAGCTGATGAATCAAACTATGAATTCTGACACTCCTCCTACAGAACAGGGGGCAAAGTCAAATTTACTTCCAGAGGAGGAAGATGGAAGAATTTTATTGTTAGTTAAAATAAATTCCTACGTTGATGATTTTGATTTATTTTTTTATTATCTTCCATTCCCATGTTTAAGTGCCTGTAACAAGCCACATGAGAGTGCAGCAGAACCAAAGCCTGAGCGGCAGGAACCTTGTAAGCAATTTTTGTATGCCTTGAAACACCTGGAGTACACAAAGCCTGAAACAGAGTAAAACTCAGAGATTTTCTATTATGTTCCTAGCACCACTTAACAGCCTTTAAATATCCCACTATCCATTATCAGCACATTATTCTATGTATTTTATAGCACAGACTGGTGTTCTTCTGCTGATGTCAGCAATTTCCTGGATGGCAATTTATTAGGTGCTATTAACAATACTGAACCAAAAACCTTAAGAGGTGCTCATTGCACCGTAATGGGTGCTGCTCTTGGTAGATGTTATGCATTTATAGCACCAGTGTGATGACCTATATGAGTGAATGCAATTATCTCTGAAGTGGAAAACCTGTCCAGAAGTAGATAAGAGGGGTTGGAAATACTGATAAATTGCCTTAGAGTTATTAAGACATATGAATGGCAAGGAAGTTCAATCAGGATTATAAAACACAAGGATAGCAATTAGATCTCTGATTTATACAGTCCTAAGCTGCCTGTCACTGGAACACGGGAGAGCACAGAGCATCACACACCAATGTGCGCTCTAAACATCTGCTGTTGGTCAGTATCACTGAGCTGTGCTATGTGATTTCGCATAACTGCGCTACGTGAAAAAAAAAAAAAAAAACACCAGAGAAAAGCTTGAGACAGCTCTTCTACTGGTACACAGCAGAAGGCATCATTATTATGATGCTGTCAATAATTGCTTCAAAACACACATATGCACCTTCTTCACAATGATTATTTCAGCTTCAGCTCAGTCACCTCCAATTAATCTTCTATCTTTACATAGAAAGTAAGGCACAGAGAACAAAGGCCTTTGCAATCAGAAAAGCTCTTCTGAGAATCACTCACCAGCCTGGCTGTTGCATTTCGGCCTCCAGATGCCAACACTCTGATGAACTTCATAGCAGTGGCGCAAGCAACTCCATGGAGGCTGGTGAGTAAACACCCTGGTTCAGCCACTTGGGGATCCCACTGAGTAGGGAGAAATTCCCTGACAATGGTGTCAATCAACCGAGGACAGTCAAGCAGCTGCAGAGAAATAGCAGGCAGCACAAACATCTAAAGGTATGCAATTATGCAGTCATGCAGAAGACATGCAAAACACACAAGTTTGTCTAATCTCCTTGCCATAACTTTATCTGCTTCTTTCTTCCCTCTTTCAAACCTTGCCCTACTATTCCTGAGCTCCTGTACAATCGGAGATTTACCTGGCTGCATGCCTCAGAGGAGTGCCTTGCTATGTGGGTGAGGATGTGCAATATATCCAGGACTACTGTTGGAACAGGTCGTACCACCTCCAGGATATACCTCAGCCGGTGCTGGATCCGTGTCTTCAAAAGTCCCTGAAAGGAAAAGGAAAAAAAAAAAAAATCCATTATGCTCTTAACAATGGCACTCTGAACGGCAGTTGCTGGAAGACAAAAGCAGATTCAATTACATCTTCTGCAGAGAGACAGTTTTAAAATTACCAGTGGGGAAACAGAGATAAGTTTCTGCGGATTTGCCAGCACGC